GCAGGAAGGTTGGTCCAGTGAACCACATCGTCTGTGTGAGGCCTGCTGCTGGAACCGACCGTGATACCAGGTCACGGTGTTCACGTAGTGCCACTGTTCTGGGATGGTAGATTGGCGTATATGCTGGACACGATTGTGGACGTATACATAGAACCGTCTGGACTGGTTGTAAATGTATCCGAGGACAACTTTGCTATCAGTATAGAACTTGGTGGCATCCAGCTTTAGATCCAACTCATCCTGAATCAGCTCAGCCATTTCCACTGCCAAGACTGCTGCACACAGTTCAAGTCTGGGAATGGTTGGGTCTGATGGAGGGGCAAGTTTGGCCCTTGCCATTACAAATCCAACATCCACCATGTCTCCTTGGATGACTTTTAAGTAGGCCACGGCACCAATGGCCTTTACCGAAGCGTCGCTAAAGACGTGGAGTTCTACTCGCTCGGCCTTGGTTGGACAGATGCCTGTGTATATCCTAGGTATGTGAAAGTTCTTCAAGTTTTGAAGTGAGTTTCTCCAAGCTTCCCACTTGCCTAACTTATCTTCAGGTAATGGGCTGTCCCACTCTGATGTCTCAGAATTCAACTCTCTGAGAAGGTCTCTGCCTTGGATCGTAACTGGAGCCAGAAACCCTAAAGGGTCGAAGACACTGTTCACCATTGAAAGAACCCCTCGACGGGTGAATGGTTTGGTGGCGGTTGTCACAGAGAAGGTGAATGTGTCGCTTGCTATTTCCCACAGAAGCCCCAAGCTTCGTTGGGTGGGTGACTCATCTCCACTGAGGTCCACATCCTTTTTTGGTTGTATGCAGTCCTGGCTTGGAAAGGCTCTCAAGACAGCTTGACTGTTTGAGGCAAATTTGTGGAGCCTCAAGTTAGACTCAGCAAGTGAAGCTTGAGTCCTATGGAGAAGCCCGATAGCCTCTGCATCAGTTGAGACAGAACATAGACCGTCGTCAACATAAAAGTTGCGTTCAACGAAGTTGACTGTGTCTGCTCCATATCTCTCTGCTCCATATCTGATGGCTCTTCTGAGCCCATAGATCGCCACTGCAGGAGATGGGCTGTTTCCAAAGACATGCACCTTCATTCTGTAGTCAATTACCTCTTTGGCTACATCGTTGTCTTTGAACCATAAGAACCGCAGGTAGTTTCTGTGCTTTTCCGCCACAAGGAAGCAGTAGAACATTTGTTGAATATCTGCCATCACAGCGACCTTATCCTTTCGAAACCGCATGAGCACTCCTAGGAGGGAGTTGTTCAGATCCGGTCCTGTCAAGAGCACATTGTTCAAGGAGATCCCAGACTGTTGGGCACTTGAATCAAACACTACCCTGATTTGATCAGGTTTCTGTGGGTGATACACTCCAAAGCTTGGTAAATACCAGCACTCTTCTTCTTTTAGCTCTGGCGCCACTTCAGCATGGTTGTTTTTCAGCAGTTTGTCCATGAATTCCACGTATTGCTTTTGCATTTCTGGCTTTCTTCTGAATTGGCATTGGAGGGATTCAAACCTTTTTACTGCTTGCTCGCGGTTGTTGGGAAGCTGTTGCCTTGGTTGTCTGAACGGCAATGGAGCAACCCAGCTGTGTGAATTGTCTCTGTAGACTTCTTTGTCCATCATTTTTAAGAAAGTTTCATCTTCAATTGAAAGTGCTAGCTTATTATCCTGTTTGGTGCGGTTGAACACATTTTGACCCAGACTGTATTCCTTAGCTCTGGGTGGTAATGCACCATTTCTAGGCAGTCTGTCTTGAAGTTCTTCTTTAAAGTGCAAAAGGCTTGTGCATGACTGGAAGAGTGAGGGCCGATGACAGTCAACCATGGTCGTCCGGAAGGAACTGACATTTGGCTTGTGTGTGTTCCCTAGACAGACTTCTCCGACCAGCACCCAGCCCAAGTCAAGGCGTTGCCCAAAGGGCGCATTGGCGGGGCCATTTATTTGTTCCCGTACTTTGTGTGCTCTGATTGCGTCTCTCCCTAGTAGCAGGAGGATCTCAGCTGTGGGGTCCAGCTCTGGGATGTGTTCTGCTACCTTTGACAGGTGAGGTTGATGAAGAGCAGCACTTGGTGTGGGAATTTCGGACCTGTTATCAGGTAAGTCATTACACTCAGTGAGTGGTGGTAAGGGAATTGTAACTTTCCCATCCAGAGACTCCACAATAAATTCTGATGCCCTTCTGCCAGAAGTTTCCACTAGCCCAGAACATGTTTTCAGCTGGTAAGGATATGGCTTAGAGTGAATGTCAAACTTGTCAAAGAAACTGGACTTGGCCAACGACCGGTTACTTTGGTCGTCTAATACGATGTAGGCCTTAATGGCTTTGTCTGGGTGGTCTTTCTGGTACACTCTTGCCAGGCATATTTTGGAACATGACCTTCCAGCTTGTCCTGTGCCGCATACTGTTGTGCAGCTTGAGCTAATGTCACGAGTGTCGTTTACCTCTTCACCCTCCCCGCCATGCTGTGGCAAGGTCAGAGGAGTCATAGGTTGAGATGCTGGTCCCGGGTGCATAGCTGAGACATGTTGGTTGCTGTCACACTCAAAACACTTCACAGTTGTAGTGCAGTCCTTTGCCATATGGTTGGTTGAGCTACAACACTTAAAGCAGATTCCGTTTTCTTTCAGAAATACCTTTCTGTCATCCAGAGTTTCAGCTCTGAAGGCTTTGCACTTCTTAAGTGGGTGGGGTTTTGCATGTATTGGGCAGATCTTACTCAGATCACTGAAGACATTTGTTCCTGTAGGAGTGACATTGATCTTATGAACTGCAATGGGTTTCTGGATGGTTTTAGGAAAGGCACTTTCAGTCCTGACAGGTAATGTTGTAGTAACATTTGAAAGGGTAAAGCTGGGGTCATTTCTTTTCTTGGCCTCATAACATATGAATTTCGTGAAGTAATCGAATGGTGGGAACCGTCCTCTATTTTCTTCTTTGTACTTAGAACCGACCGAGATCCATCTTTCCTGGAGTCCATGAGGCAATTTGGTCACTATAGGCTCAATTCCTCGTGTTGTGTCCAGGTAGGACAGGCCTGGTAAGTAGCCATCTTCCTTAGCACACTGCACTTCCATAAGCAGGTCAGCCAACTCTCGTAGCTTCAAATTTTCCTTGGCTGAGACTCTGGGAAATGCATCCAGTCGGGTGAAGAGGGCCTTTTCAATCACCTCTGGGGCTGCATAACACTCTTGAAGACGTTCCCAAGCTTTCACTAGGGCTATTTGTGGGCTTGCTATGTGCACTGCACGGAGGCGTTTCACCTGGTTGCTGGATTCTTTGCCAAGCCATCGTGTCATCAAATCCAATTCTTCAGTGGCTGTGAGACCAAGTCCTTGGGTGGCATTTTTGTATGATGAGAGCCAAGCACGATAATTTTCAGGTTTATCATCAAACTCATACAAACTTGTATTCACTAGGTCACATCGAGCTAAATATTGTGCCAGGTGTTCAGTTGCAGGCATACTTTGAGTATTGGTCTGCTGGGGGTGGAAAGATGGAGCCCCGACATTTAATTCACTGATCTGCGAGATGACACTCTCGGAAATAACCCTGGGCCTTTCTCTGAAAAATGGATTCTGGCTGACTGACTGTTTGGCTGCTGGTGGTGCATAGTCCAAGTCATAGTCTGTAAATTCCACATTGTTTCTGGTGTCGTGTGAAAACACCTGCGGCTGATGGTGTGAAACAAAGGGGTTGTTCGGGCTGTAACTGAGAGTGGCAATTGGCTGCGTTGGGGGTGGACTAGCCTTCATGACTGTTTGTTGAACAGGGTTAGTGGACTGGAAGTGAGTTTGGATGTATTCACTCGTTCGTTCATGTTTGCTTTGTTCTATTAAGTTTGTTTCATCCAGCACAATATAATTGTTGCTCCCTGTAACTGCTGACTCCCAGACAGCTGCTACGGCTTCAGCTTCTGCTGCTTCACGGCATATGGCTAGTGTTTTAATTTCAGTCTCTTTTTTAACTTTTTCTATCTTAGCTTTGGCTTCTTGCTCAGCATACTCGGCACGCACTTTAGCAGCTGCTGCCTTTGCTCGTGCGCGAAGTAAAGCATTGGTTGATGAGGTAGAAGAATGACAGCTGCTTCCAACTTTGCTTGATTTATTAGATCTAGTTTCCATCCTGACTCGATGTTCAGTGCTAACTTCTCAGTCTTTTCACTATGTTGTCCTCACTGCAGTGTATTAACTGAAGTTATCCAACAAGTTAAACTCTGATGCAATAACCAGGAGACTGCTCTGTAGTTAACGTTCCACTGTTGTTTACTTGAAGAATCCAGCATTACATAGCAGAGTGAAAACTGTAACAAAACAAAGTTCAACTATTTTTAATTTTAAGTTTAGCTTCACATAAAGTCTGATGAATTAACCTATCTTAACACATGAATAAAAACGATCTTTTTAACCTATTTATTACATTTTCTTTCTACTATAAACTTAACTTAAACTATCAATTATTTAACATAACAATGACTTTTACTTACGACTTTGCTTCTAGCATCGTTCACAGTCAGGAATTCTTTTCCATTTTCAGCAGATAGAAACCGAATGTGGAGTAACTGAATACAATGCAGGAAGTAGTAAGGAAACTACAGGAAACAGTGTCAAAATAAAAGGTCCTATTCTTTCTCAACTTTTCATCATAAAAGTCTATATAAATCGCCTCAATGGCGACACACAGGGGGAAGAGAGGAAAAATATGGCACCACAGTTGGGGATTGTCAGGAGGAGACGGAGAACAGCTTTAATCAATGAAGGGAGGGAGCTGAGAGAGGTAAGAATTGATCAGCAACAGGCAGACACAGCAAAGAAATCTAATATAGAATGATACCAAATCACCAAAAAGGACCCACTACACAGGAAACAAGACAAAGACCTCACAGAAGATATAAATTTGTTTAAGTGCTTTAATTCAGTAAACCTGAAAAGTTAAACTGAATAAAATGATAACTTCACATCTCCAAGAATAGTGGGATAAATTAACAGCAGCATTTCTTTACCTTGGAGATGTCCTGGCCATCAATGCGGATGCAGCCATCCTGGGGGTCAAAAAATCTGACCAACAGACGCAGGATGGAGCTTTTTCCTGATCCAGACGGACCTACCTGAGCACAGACACACACAAAAGAATCGTTTCTACCTAAACAAACCAATGTAAAATCATCAACATGATCTTAAATCTCTGTACCAGCAGCATTTTTAAAGAAAGTAAACAAAAACTCACATAACTTCAAGAATCCTAACTATACCAAAAATAAATATTACTGCAACATCTTAAATAGTTTCTATACACTTTTAATTCACATGTTTGCTATTTATCTGACCTTAGCAACCATAGCTACTTGAGATGTTCTGATACCATTTTATCTTTCCTGACATGATTCTGATGCTTGTGCTCTGCGGAAACATTTCCAATACTGGTATCGGAATTTCAACAACAAATAGCTACTTTAACTCATACCCATACCCATGATGTTGACCATACCAGTGTAAGTAAACATAAAATATCATAAAACATAGACAAGGTTTTTACTCATGAAAGGTTTCAGTTAACTGTTCACATCCTATCTTACCAACCCCAAAATTCATTGGAGAGAAAAGGAAAAATGGATTTCCATTTTTCTTTATCAAAATTAGCAAACTACATGCTGCCTTTCCATTCAGTTCATACTTTGTGAATCTGCTTTTATATTAAGCTACATGAGCTTGAGGTCTATTGAAGTATGTTTACCAGGCAACTTTGTCACATCTATTTTTTTAATCTATGTTGCAAAATTATTTATGCTCAGTCAGATTAGGGAGATATTAATTAAATAGATTAATTAAAAAGCTTTCATGTTGACATATTTACAAGAGATGTATGGCAGTATTTATGCTATCAACATTCACAAAAATATGAAAAAATACATTTAATTATGATACTTATTTTCACTTGATCAACAAAGTATTTTTGAACTGAATTAAAAACTGAATGCACCAATGTTGGTATCAGTTTAATACCTTTAAAAGGTATCAAACTTTTTAAGCAATGGGGTAGATAAAAAGAAATCAATTTCTTTTTTTATTTGGATGGAAACTTGATGCTGTAGACAGGGCTGTGTAGATGTGTTGTCTTACCAACATACCAGTGCAACAGTCTGTCCAGCTTCCACACTAAATGTCACATTGGTCAGAACCTCTGAACTGAAAACAATATAGGAACAACAAAAACAATTATTAGTCAGATTTATTATAAGATAAAATGATTAATCAAGAAACAATTTAAATAGTGTAGCATGACCTCATGGACCTTCCATTATCCCCTTTTGAAGCTCATTAAAAACTCTATTTCACTAACAAAATACATAAAAGCGATGACAAGAAAACACCAGAAAAGTTTAAACTTGATCATAACGATGCAGTTATTTATACAAAAAAAAAAAAAACATAAAGCTGCTCCATAAACCTTTTATATTAAAGCAACAACATAATAAAGTATGGGTGTTTTTTTCTTTACCAAAATAATTACAACATATACCTCTGCTTCCAACTGTTAGATTAATATCCTAATTATCACTCGATTAAATACAAAAAAAGGAGACAAATAATGATTTAAAATAAAAAAAAATTACAGTAAAATAAATTAAATTGTGATTGAAACGGCTACTTGATCACCATAAACCAGTCAGAACTCTGGTTTCAGCAAACAGATTCTTTGCCCACTCAATTTAATGATCAATCAATAAACCAGTCAATTTATTTAAGTGTAATGATTTTAAATCAAAGCTTTTCAAAGAAATTTATTAATTCCAACGTCTGGACCACATTGTTTTAGAACAGAGGTCTCAATGAACACTCGGGATAGGAAATGGGCAACGTTGGAAGGGGCTCCTAGACCATGAGCATCCAACTTGGTGGAAGGCTGCCATCTTTAGTGATTTCACCAGTGCAAAATGGATAAAATAACCCTAAGAGTTAAAGCTTAAGACTCAACTTAACCCTCATGGTTTCATGGAAGAGAATGCAAACTGAAGTTCACCACTCTGGCAGTGATGTACTGTAGGTAGTAACATTATGCTATATTGCAATATTAATATGTATTAATGTGTGCTAACCTATTGACTTTTTACAAGTTTTTACATGTTTTGTTTCACCTTATGAAAGGTTAAATGCTCTATTAGTGTCTCTAAAATAGGAAGAATATATATAATTAAAGACTGACTCCATTAACATGGTGTTAAAGAGGTTGTCTTAGATCTGCTCCAACAAACCCACCCTTACTTGAAAAAGGGTGGAAGTTTGTTATAATTGATATTGAACTCTATTCAGCTCTTTAAATATCACTAGGATTGATAAAGTATATTTGTATTGGAAGGAATTGAATTGAAGCAGTTACTTTCCTCAGATAAATAAACTTTTCAGAACGGGCTAAAATTATTTGTTTAACTGTTATTATTTAACTGGATACAAACCCAGGGACATAGCCAAAACAGACTTTGTCGAATTCCACCTGCCCTGCCGTCAGCTGCAAGTCCTGAGCCTCTTCAGCATCTTCAATCTATGAAGAAAGAGTACAGAAGGAAAGAGACTGAATCAAGACTTTTGACTGCATGAAGAAAAGGGTTTGCCTCCTCTTATGGCATCTACCAAAACGTAGAAACTTTTTCAACTATTAGGTTTCTCTGCTACGTGCAGTCCTGGACTCTGTGGGAAATGGAGCTCCTGTGGTTATGCTTTTTGCAAAATAAACCAGAATCCTAAAGCAGATGTGTGTTCAAACTAAGCTTGGTTCTACTGGAGATACACAATATTACTGTTAAATGGGAAATGTCGTTATATCTTTACCGGTGTTGTTTTTGTCAACAATGACAATGACAAATTTACTTCGTTGATGCTCCTCCCATCTAAACAAGGATGTTTGATGACGAAAACATGACGAATCATGGCTGTGAGTTTTTGCCGATGAGACGAGATTGAATAAAATATTTAGCGGGTTGTCTGTCAGACGTTTAAAATGCATCATTGTGCTGTAATCTGTTAGACAGGCTAAGCAGTATCAGCTGTGTTGCTGCATCCTGTTTGGTCATCCTGCCCACCTGGCATGCAGCGGTGCACGTTCTGCATGACCACAGATGAACCATGGCAACAGGGGTTGGGGGGGATAATCTGACAAACATTGCTCTTCCAGCTGTGCTTGTGCCGAAAGGTGCACACAATGATGGTTCGCTCTCAGCAGTATGGCTCCTCCTGCACTCGCTACTTAATAAACTAGATGTGTCTGATCATCCTCTGCAAAACATTAAAAATCCTTTTGTCTAACTATCAAGATTGTATTCCTTCCAGCTAAAAAGAGGTGATGCTAAACCTTCTTTAATTTCTACCAAAAGGAATCCCTAAATTATACCCAAAGCAAATATTTAATTGCATACTGTTTATTTTTAGATAAAGACCCAGATGAAAAGGTACATAGATATTGGAATATTTCTATCTCATAGTTCTTGTTTGTATCTATTTGAATATTCCAACATTTTAGTTAACATTTTGAAATTTAGTTCCTGGCCTGGGGTCTTTCTGCATGGAGTTTTAATGTTCTCCCTGGGCATGTGTGGGTTCTCTCTGGGTACCCCGGCTTCCTCACACAGTCCAAAAATGACTGTTATGTTAATTGGCTCCTCTAAATTCCCCTTAGGTATGAGTGCGTGCGTGAATGGTTGTTTTTCCTGTTGCCTGCGATGGACTGGCGACGTGTCCAGGTTGCACCTTGCCTCTCGCCCGTAGACTGCTGGAGATAGGCATGAGCACCCCTTCTGACCACACTTAGGATAAGTGTGACAGTGGATGGATGGATACATTTTTCCAAGCCAAAAAGAGTGTGAGTGAGTATGGTAACTCATCCTGGAAGTGCTAAATCACATAAAATCGGGAAGTAGCGTGAAAAGTTGTTGAAGTGCACATGCTTTTCTTTCTTACACGATAACCCAGAGATGACTACCTGGGTACCCTGACTTCCCCTCATAGATTCAAATATGTACAGTATGTTGCCTGACATTGCCCACATATGTTTCTACTTAAATATTGAAATTATTCAGCTTTTGTTTCCCCACTTAACATTTTGACTGTAGTTTGACCTTTTTTTTGGTTTTGTTTTTCAGTTCCTTCATCCATTTCACTCTTGTCTGGCTGCACTCTCTTCAAGCTTCCCAAGCCAAGGAAACGGAGCTGCTCTGTTTTTAAGGTGCTTAAACACTTTTGTCTACATTCATGTGGCTGTTTACCATATCAAGAGCCTTTGAATTAACAAGCCTTTAGTGACACTGAAGGAGGATGCCTTTTCCCACAGAAGCACACATGCACAAACTGAAGCACGCTCAGACTTGAGAGGCAGGTTGGCCACAAATACACACAAACACAAAAGCTTGCTGACCAGCCTGTGAACTGACTTCTGACTGTAAATGTTGTTTTTTTGTTTGTTTTGTTGTTTTTGTTTTTCAGGCTCACCAGCAGTCATTTGGGTCACTTCGGATTCAGTTTTCTTTTAATCTGAATAAATCAGTAGCGGTATTCCATTTAACTGATCTGATTACAATCATGTGACCAAATGTGTCCAAAAAATGTCACTGACAATTGTATTATCTAAATGACCTGTTAAGTGAGTTAAGATGTTAATATATTGGCTTCTCTTCAAAGCAACAATTGTAACTTTTAGCTACTAGAGGCGCTAGACTTGTAACTTCCTGGAAAGCAACTTGTATTACAGTAATGTCAAAAAATTAAAAGGTCTTCCTCTGTTTTTTGGAAACTAATAACAAGCTATTTGATTGAGAAATGATGGAATTCGTTGTACAGACAAGGCCGCTTCACTACTCCAGATGAAATCCTACATTAGAGAGCTAAAAATACCAGCCTGATCAATTGAGTGTCTTGTCAATTTTTTTGCCACACAGCAACTTTTAGCTTAAGGAGCGACATGTTTAAGAAAAAGACTGCCCTAAAGCAGTGCTCTAAGTCAAGTTTTTGGGGAAAGCAGACTGCACAGTGCACTGTTTTCATTGAGTTCTGTATATTGACCCGAAAAATCCTTAAATATATCTAAAAATAAGCTAATACTGTAGTAAGAAGTTATGTAGTGTTGCTTTAATAATTTCTTTATCAGGAAAGTAACATGAAAAAGCTTGTTTTAAAAAAAAACTTCTCAAGTTATGTTTTAGGTCATATTTGCAGGTATTTTTGTTAAAGATTTGCAAAGTTTATGCAGTTAGATATTCAAGTTTAAAATGTATCTTTGATTTTTATCAATCAGAGTTACCCACTCGAATGGCTAACTCTCAAATGAGATGTATCTAAAATGTTATTTTCTCCACAAATGTCTAAAGAATGAGACACCTTTCTTCATTTGAGGACTCTAAGTAAATAAAACAACCACTTATTTTTGAATTGTCTCAGTGAAGGGCCTCTTATGTCTCCGCTAAGATGAGGTTTATGAATTGGTGCTATATAAAGAAATTTAATTGGATTGAACTGAATTTAATTGATGTTTTTTTCTTTTCTTTTTTCTAATACTTGTTGAAATACAGCAACGATTGATACACAGACCTACACAAGGGTAGGGGATATAAGAATGACGCGGTTTCCTACACATCAGTGCAGGAATAATAAAACTTGCTGTGTTTACAGCAAAATTATAGTTAAATTTTTAGAAAAAGTTATGAAAACAATTATATATAAATGATATCAGAATAACACATAGAGCAGATATTACATGACCAGGAATATAAGTTGAAAACCAGTTGCCTTTGTACCGTTACTTACCTCTCTGTGCTCTCCTAGTAGAGCCAGCATGTTTTCCATATCAATGAGTCCACTCTGAATTAACCTGCAGACACGTAGAGCAGCACTGGTTTTAAAATTGTTGATTTTTTCTTTCCTATATCATAAACTCATCTAAAAAATAGAAAGGCACAGCAAATGATCTATTTATTAGTTACACTCAGAAGTGGCAAAAAACCCCACAAAAAAACTGTACTTAAATCAGAATAAACCATCTGATATTTCAAAATTACAATTTCCCCATTGTGGGACAATAAAGGGTCCTGTTTTATTTACCCAGAAAAAGTAACCTAACTAATGACACAAGTAAGAGTAAACTTTGATTTATATTTATAATCTGTATACAAATAAAAACATTGTTTTATATACCCTTTGTTCCTGACTTTTAAAACATCTCTAACTCAAGCCTCACGGTCCAATTATTTTCCCCTGTTCTCCGTGCAACCAGGACAGCCCAAAACCTAAACATGAGACCTACTGTAAATGGACTTTAAGTGGATGATCTGTTATTGGAATACATGGTGGAATACATGGTCTACATGGTGAAATATTTTAATGTGGTGAATGTAACATCTATCTAAACATTTATTCAACTATTTGCACACCTGTAGTAGGTCCCAAACCAATTTAGAGGAATATACAACTGGATGATATAGGTTCCAAACAGAACATAGTCTCCAACCTGCAGGGGGAGAAAAAAAAACATTCTGTAAAGAGAATGACCAAGTTCAGACCAGCAATAAGGAGAAAGCAAATGTCATGAAGTTACAGCAAACTACCCTCTTAATGGAAAATCCTTCTCTCCCCTTTTCATTACTTTGAATTTTTTTAACAACCTCTCTTGCTTTCTTTCCTTTTTACCATTCCCTCCCACCTTTCCATGGTCAGAGAAGATCCTGTTCAAGTTTTTCATTAACTGAAGCGATGATACACCCCTTAGGAGAGTAAATCTGGCACTTGGACAACAAGTCTGAATTCTACACTGCCAGACAGAATATAACGGAAAAGTTAAATATATATTACCATAAATCAGGTATATTTGTATCTGTCATAATTAGGGCTGGGACATAAAAAAATAAACGCATTTTAATCGCACACCATAACGTATTTATGTCGTTCAGCAGTAGAACGGCCAGACAGAAATAGAAGAAGAACCGGAAGAGCTGGTTTTAACTACAAGGAGAGACAACCATGGAAGAATTAGAAGAAGCAGATGAAAACATTTTAGTTGGCCCCGTGCATGGGAAATTTGGTTTAATTTAGTTTTAAAATACACGATGGGAGAGTCGATAAGAGCGTTGTCATATGTAAAATAAACAAATAATATTTTGTTGATAAAGCTTATGTATTGTCATCCAAAACCCATGTGGAAAAAGTAACTTCTTGCTGTTTCCAAGTCAGGTATTTATATGCGATTAAAATGTGATTAATTACGATTAATTAGTTTTACGGCCATGCAATTAAAGATTTTAATCGAGTCCCACACCTAGCTTTAATACCTGAAACTGTTTCTGAGAGACCATGTAGGAACAGAGCAGAGATCCAGCAAGCAGTCCTGATCCGATGATGATGTTCTGTGCCTGATTAAGCAAAGCCAGAGAAGCTGAGCTCTTCCATTCACTCCTCTAGACAGAAAAACGGTATGTTTTCAAACAAAATAAATACTTTTGTTCTTTATTCTAAAAGAACAAACTGAACACACGCATTCAGGACATGACATGACATAAACACATTAAAATTATGCTGGTAAAACATCAATAAATAGTAATATTGAACTACCTGATAATTTAAAATAGCCTCATTGAAGCAGTGGACTTCATAATCTTCAGAATTGTAATATTTTACCTTTAAGGGATATGAAACATATTTAAAATTAATGTTCAATCTGGTTTGTTTATAAATAGCTTCAATTCACAACACATGTCATCTTAAGACAGTTTACACGGACAGTTCAGTCGGATCATACAGTCAGATTCAACATTGTTTTTTTTATTAAAGGAAAGCCAGCTGATTGCATCAAGTCATTGACTCCACTGCAATTCCTCAGCAGTATCAAACAATATGGGAAGTTAAACAAACTTGTTTCAGAGTTATTTAACCAGAAATGGATCATTTCAGCTTGCATCTTTGTTCTGCAATTACTCATAATTGTTTGGTAACTACCGTCTCAAAGTTGAGCAGTGAGTCTATCGCTATGGATTTTGCATTGTTGTCCTGGTTGTTCATCTCTCTCCTGTATTTAGTTCTCCACTCTGTGATCAAAACAGTACAAGCTGCAAAGGAGAAAAAAATGATACTTAATTTAACATACAAACCATCATAATATTCATCCTCTATAGAAAGTAGAGTTTATACTTAATTTATAGACAGGTAATTTTGACCAGTAAGGTTAAGCAAGCCCATGTGGTCCAAAACACAGAGGATCCAACAGCCTGCTGATAAACACTTGTTAATGAGCAGGCCTTTATTGCAGAAGGGCTGTTTGGATATTATATATATATATTCATGATTCCTATTGAAATTGGAGTGGTGGCTTGTACTCCTGTCGTTTTATGCTGCAAAGGCTATTTTCATTATTCAGATACATCTTTCCCTCCTTGAACCATCACCTCAGGGTAGTGGAGGGGCTTCATTGCCTGGATGATCTTTGAGGCTATGTTGTCGGGGGGTTAAATGCCCCTGTCATGGTATCTTAAAGCAAATAGTCTCAGGGGGACAGGTCAAAAGGAAAGCGGTTCACAAAGCCCACATGATGACAAAAAAATCGAGGCACATGACATCTTCTGGTACGGCAGAGATGGGACCACACCCTTGAGCGCCTGGTGGCCGGGTCCTTCCTTGTGGGAACGGGCGGGGCCCAGCCCCAAGGTGTTACTCTACTCAATCCCCCAGTGGGCTCACCAGCTGAGGGGGAACCATGAGAGACTTGAGCAAAGGGGATTGGGTTTCAGTGGCTAAGGCAACCCAATATGCGTTGCTTACACTGTCTTCACGGACAGGGCATGTCACCTTACTGGGATGGGAAAATGTGCTTGTGCCGGAGTTGGAAGCGATACTGGCCGGACATAGATGGGCTCTTCTCCACATGTATCATGGGCTCTTGAATCCAGCTCCTTGACAGAGGCTGGACTCTCTTCTGCTCTGAAGTGGCCCATGGGGAGAGACCTAGAGCGGTCATTTTTGTCTCTCTAAGCTCAGCTGTCTTATGTTTGAGTTTACCCCAGTGAACTTTGCGTTTGTTATGGGGAAGGTTTCAGACTGTTGTTTCGGCCTATGGGCTGGAAGGAAGTACAGAGTACCAGGACTTCTTGGCATCCATGCGACGCCAATGTGGGAAATGACATTGACACCTGAAGGGGCATGATCGGGAGGAACGGACCCTCAGCTCTGAACCCAAGTGGGGTTTCATTATTGCACTTCTATGTAAGTCAGTAACTTACATAGATGTGCAAAAATGAAATACCATTTACCACTTAAAGTCACGGATCGTCAACAATGAAAACCATGTTCAAGCTTAAAGATGTCAATGAGCAAAAACAGCAGAGAAGATCTTCGGGGCTCCTCTTTCCTCCATAAAAGACATTTCATCTCAGCACTGCAATGACCCCTCACACTCCCACAATGGACTTTTCCTCCCTGCTGCTCTCTGGGAAGAGGCTTTGCAGCATTCCATGCAGGTCCAGCAAATTCCGAAACAGCTTCTTTCCCTCTTTGCTCTGAACTTCCATATCGACATCTCAATCAGAACATCATATATTTTGATTAATTAATGGTAATAATTTGCTATCAATATCTATGTAAATACACTGCACTTTGCAGGATTGAGGGGCTCTAAATTAACTTCTCAAAAATTTTATTATATCACTTTTTATATTATTTAGTATTGAATATTAAATCATTTCTAAAAATGTGATCAATATAAAGCTCTTTAATTCATTATCTGATATTTCTGCAACCTTTCTTTCATTGTGAGCTTCTTTGCTCCGTCCAAATGTTCTAATGTGGAATAAAGAGATGGAAATTATAGATTCTTTGTTCTGATCATTCAGTTAATGAAAAAACATAATCAACTCATTAACTGTCTATTCAAATAACTGTCAGTCGCTGTCCAGTTGTGCTTAAAGTTAGACAACAGGTGTTTTTGTTTTTTTTCTTCAAACTAGCACAGGTTTCTGCCGTCTGTTCTGGAGAAAACAAAACTGGCAATAAAAAGATGGTATATTTTTTCCTACTCTTCCAGAGGAGAGTAGGCAAGTTTTAACTGAACTACTCTCTTTAACTTCTTGTATTGCAGAATTAAAGCATAAAGTTTTCTGTACTTAAAGATAGACAGAAAGTAAGCAAAGTAAAGACTTACTGAGATAGAGGACCATGCAGGTGAAAACAATGAGTCCAAACCAGATGTTGAAGTAAGACACAAAGTAAATAATTGCGATAATGATGTCAATGATGGTCGGGAGGATACTGAACAGGATGTAGCTAAGGATAAAACCAACCACATGTTGATCATTTTCAGCACTGCTGCATAATTTGACCTAAAGAGAAAAAGCTTCAACTGTCTCACCTTAGCAGATTATTGATGGAGGACATACCACGGTCGATGCTTCTTACCACATCACCAGTGCGCCTCTCCAGATGCCATCGTACAGACAATCCATGGAGGTGAGAAAACACACGGACCTTAGCCAAAAGGGAAAGTGAGCAAAGTGAAAAGTGTGAAGTGTTGTCTTCAGATTTGCTGGTAGTGTGCTTGTAATGTGATCAGAAAAACTTCCGTCATTCCCCTTTGAATAACATCGGCCATTCCAGTCCAGTCAAAGTTCATTAGGATGCCCACGTTCATTTTTAAAGAATATAAACCCTTAAAATATAGGATTTTATTGGATGTATGAATAGGCCTTCACCAGCTTTTAGGATTATTTAGACTTCACATTCTTTCTTTGTCCTCGTCTATAAGATTTGGGTTTGACGTAAACAATTGTAGAGTATACCTCAAATCCAAAGGTCCAGCGATATTTAGTAATTGTAGGCCTCTGAAACTTATCTTGTTTCTCATAAATGTTATTAAAAAGAGATCAAACAGCAGAAAAAGCATTTCTGCTGCTAACAATAAATGTACTTGTGGGTTTTTAATTATTATTTCTCCAAGGCTTTTGAGACAGTTAATCATTGTATTTTTCTCCAAAGAATAGTTACCTTTTTGTCTTCCTTTTATAGCATTTAAATGGTTATATTGTCATGTTTCAAAAAGACAAAACATTTGTTTGCATTTACTGTCCCACGTGGAACTATTTTGCTACCTTTGGTTTTTCTCATTTATGTTAATGACTTATCTAATGTCAAAAAGACTATGAGAACAAAAAAAAAACATTTATGTGACAGCAAACATGGTTCTAGGCAAATACATTGACATTAAACATTTAATTTAAGTGGTAAATAAAATCCGACCCCAGTACTCCTAGATATATTGATTAGAAGTAAAATTGAGAGATCAAATGTATTGTGTTAGTGCAAAAAATATTATAGCACTGGTCAAATTAGAGAGATTAGTCACTTGGTAGTAAACTGCTTATGGTCTATTATAGTTATAATATTGTAAATATAGTCCACGCAAGTTGTTTTTTTTTTCCCACTGCTGTGCCTAAAACTTTTGTTAACCAGATATATTTTGCCAGAAAAGTAGCACCACAAGATAAATGTTAATATTTGGCACCTTTGTTTAAGAAGGTTTAAATAAATATTTATAAAAGCAAACCCTGTAAAATTAATATTCTTTTTAGAAGGTTTTAAAACATCCCAGAAAACTACCGCTCAGGTGCATAATTATTTGATAGGTGAATTATTGAACGACACCCTACTAAACACTTCACTTTCATTGGTCATTTTTTTAAAGCCATGCAGAGGTGCCAAATTATGGAACACATAAACTGATATAGCTAGGAAGGTTCTCATTTCAAAGGTTTTAAAGCTAGTCTTAAAGAGACATTTTGCAATTTTTTATTTAGCTGTTTTAAATGCCCCTTTACAAATAAAACCTAATTTGATTAACAGACTGACACCTCAGTAGTTCAGCACCAATGCATCTATAAGAGTGTTGTCTATTTTCCTATTTTACATTTTACCTTGGGTCAGAAGTCCCCGCACTATTCTGACTCTTAAAAGAGGCGGTCGCATTTTCGTGCTGCTCTGCAACTCCCTGATGTCCCTACTCTGTCTCTGCTTTGCTGTGTCTTGTATTTTCTGAGCCCTCTCTTCATATCACCCGAACTGAAACAATGGATCTGGTCAACTGGTCTCTCAATGCAATTAATCAACTGGAAGACAGGGAAAAGGGGACCTGTCCTGTCCTACCGGGTCATATTTCGTGGCATACACCATGGACTTCCGGAAGGCTTGGAGGATGGTGTGTTTCACAATGCTGTCAGTGGAGGATATCAAAGATGTATGGATTTTTGGTTTTATGATACTCAGATTTCTCTTTTTTGGATTTGGAGGATACCTGATGTATCTACAATTGCAGAGGATGTCGGCTGCAATTTGGGCACAGATCAGGCTGCCGGCAGCGGTTGACACCCTTACACAGGCTGTGAACGAGCATGATTGGGGGATGAGCTGTATGCTGGGTGCGATTGAACGCAGGCTGGCTGCGGTGGTTTAACTCAAAGGTGAGATGGGATAATATCTTGGATGTGCACACTCGCTTCAAAGCGGAAAAGCCCAACAAATTTGGAAAATTGAATTCACCACGAAGAGCCAGCATGAAAAGACTCAAGGCTGATGGTAAATTCCTGTGCACCCATCTTTCAAAACAATAATTGTTATTCTGGATTCAGTCTTCCCCTTATCAAATACAACCAGGATGTTATGGTGAAAGGGCACAGAAGAACTGCTCCCCGCCTCCCCTATATGCGAACATCTGTGGATGCGTCCCTAACCGTTGATAAACTTCCATCTTATCAAAGACAATGGCCTGTTGACAGCGTTCACCGATAAATTGAACGCACTCATCATACACACTAATGTCTCAAATGTCAGATTGACTTCATGTGACTCCGCCTCCGATGTGACCCTCTGCTGAAATGTCTGTCTCTTGTCACATGTGCTTTTCTTGTGCTGAGGTTTTTTTGATACCTCAAACTGTATCCTGTGAAGGATAAAGTGTGAAATATGCTTTTTTTCCCCCTGACCTTCCCCAATGTGGCTCCTATCCTTCTACAAAGATTAAGGCAGCTGCCTACAGGCTGGGGCCCTCGGCAGCCGTAAGAACGAGCCAAAGGCAGTGTTCTTCGGCACGCATGGCCTCAGTAAACCATTCTTCCTCTCAGCCCCCCCCAAACCCAATGTATGCGATGAACGGTTTGTACTGAAACTGAAATCTGGATTGCAATGTAAATTGTAGTTGACAATGAAGTTGATTGATTGATTGATTGATTGATTGATTGATTGATTGTTCGGCGGATGTGATGTTAAGCGTGTTAACATTAAATGAGTCCAATCTAACAAACAATCAAAGCGTTATATTCAAGATGAATTTTGGGAATGCTAGCAAGCATCCATCTCAACTCAGAAACCAATAGCAACTACCAGTAAGGTGAAAAAAGTAAAAATACTACCTTGTTAAGTAGGAGCGCGAGCTAAGGAAGAAGAGCGATACAGTTCTGTGTTTTTGCCATAGGCGGCAGTATCATTACTAGACTCTGTAATGCCTCTTTAAATCATTTATTTTTCGGTCTGGTAAAAATCATGGATTTTAGATTGAACTGAATTGACCCTGTGATAGAAAATATATGGATAGAGGAACCCTGAAGAAAAGGTTCACCTGAACACCTCTGCTGGTAAACTGTTGAACTTTTATCCATAGGAATTGACGCAGGTTGCTAATGAAACCAGAAGTACCTGCAAGAACAACAAAAAGTCATTTTTGAAACAGTCTTTTGCTCATAATTTTTTTATTAATTCTTATAGCTTCGACTGACACTCACCTGCACCTCCTCCTTGTAGAAACTTTAGCAGTGTGAAGATACAGACAGTTGAAATTAATGAAGTCCAGGGACCTCCTGCGGAGAGCTCATTCACTGTAAACACAAACATACAAACATTGAATCTCCTCAGAATCAAATAACACTTGGATGCTTTAAGGAATAAAAAGATAGAAACCTACACTTGGCTACAGAAAGGCCAACCTACAGATAAAACCTGTCATAATTGGGGATATTTTTCCATTTTCACAACAGCAAAGTTTTTGTATATTTGCATTTAAATGAGATTTACATTTTTTGTTTTATCTAGAGCAGGGGTCACCAACGCGGTGCCCGCAGGCACCAAGAGGCCCTCAAGGACCACATGGGGTGCCCTCTTCGTCTTCTGAAAACAGAACAACTCACTCAGTGGGTTAAGTTTAATTTTGTTTTTTATTTTGTTGCTCTTCTTTTTAATCATTTATGTATTATTTCATCATGTTAACTATTTCATCATATTTCAGTGGTTTCAATATGACAATATTGAAAAGAAAATTAGAAATTAATAAAAGAATAAAATAAGAATAAAAATTTGTTTTTATGGATGATATTTACTGTAGGTGAACACTGATCCCTTTCAGTTCATAGGTCAGTATTGGTAGCCCTTCCTATGACTCGGTAGCCATGAAGTAGCCCTCAGCCTCAAAAAGGTTGGTGACCCCTGATCTAGAGTGACTCATTCCATATTTTAAAGGGGAATGCCTAAAAGGGCCCTTATACAGTCCTAACTTGAGGGTTCCTTGTCTTGCAGGCTATGCATTGTATAGAAACATAGTAGGGGGATCCAATAAGTAGCCCTTAGATAAATATGACATATTTTTTGTGCCAGCGACCTGAGCACACTGTAACTAGTCTAAATCCGCAGTGGAGCAGGTGTGCAGTTTGTAAATCTCACACCGACTTGCCTAACATGCGTCATTCCTCTTCTGTGCACACTCAGCTACAGCTTTAGTAGGTATAGTAACATATAGAGTGGAGCACACACATGGGCTCAGCTTTTACTGTGATTAACTGGATGTAGTCTCTTTCATCTCTTTGGCATAAAAACCTTCTCAGATATTGTTTGCTTAATTGTGTCTTTTACAACTACCTATGAAGTAAGGTTACTATTATAAAGTATTTATATCTCTTCTGTATGTCTTCTTCTGTGTTCTTGAAGCCCTTGTCAGAATTAGCAGAAGGTCACTCTAACTGAGCCTGCTTCTGATCTGCTTTAGGTTTTTTTGGGGTAAAAGGGAGTATTTCCTCTACACTGTGCCTCCAAGCATGCTCCATGTTAGGGATTGTTGCAACAACACAATGCAAGCGGATATCGACCATCTCTCTTTTCTCATCTATTAGGGAGAAAATCATGCAAAGTCATTCACTGGATGCAACCAGGTGGGGTTCCTAGATAGAAAAAGATATAACCAATCTGTCTGTCATGAGGACATGTTGCTCATTGGGGCAATTTCACCAATTTACAGCACACATTAAAAGACAATGGCCATTTCTCAATTCACAGGAAGGCGAGTAAAGTATGGACTCGGGAGAACGGGAGCTTGCAAAATAAATCTGGGTCAACTGGAACATAATCATGCTCTTGAAATCACAATATTCAAAGCTTGTCTGAAGCTGCATTTCTACTGCTGTTATTAGTAGTCTCTAGATTATGATAAATTATTACTTTTTCATTTAGTTGGGGAATAATGATTAACACAGAAAGATTAAACACAAATACAATGAAAGTTTGGCCAAAAAAAAAACCACTTTGCCGAGAGAAGGCTGCTGCAGAAAGGCTAATAATAGCCCTGGCTATGGTTGGCCTCTGAGCACCACTTCTTGCCACGGTCCTCTCAACATGTGAACTTCTTTTTACTATGCAGTAAATCAGTAAATGGGCCAATACAGCAAAGCTTAAAAGTATAAAAGACTGAACACTCCGGTTGCATCTGGTTGCATACGTCTTTTTGGGCTCCGTTCAGATTTTTTTTTTTCTGTCACAGTCTCACATATAGAGAGGCTCTGACTGGGCAGCATGGGCACATCTGCACAGATCGTTTTCTACTTCTGTCTCTGTGCCACACAAATGAAAACAATTTCCCACTTTTACTCTGACATATTATGAAAAGTTATGAAAAAAAGCTATAAAACAAAAACCCCACTTAACAAGTCTGTGCAGCATCTCAAACCAGAACAGATAGAGAATGTTCATATGCCCATATTAAAAACGCAATGAGATCCATATCTAAAGAAAAGAAACATAAATGCTGTAGGACTTTTTCCATGCTGACTGAGGCAGACGGGGGATTCTCAGAGAGAGATCTGTGAAGTTTATTCAAGTTTTTCTCCCTTTTTTCATAAAGAGGTGAGAGAGATGCGCCATGCTTACCTGCTCTGTCTGCCACTCGTCATTTTTTTTATGTTTCAATCATGTGTTTTTGCACGAGTCTGTCCCACTTACTATATACAAGATGTGTGACTCCAAAACCCCGTGTGATTAACAGATTTAATTTTGCATTTTCCCCCAAAGCAGATGTGTTTTACTTTATAACCGTGTCTCTGCTCTTGTCAGACCCATGAAACTGCTGCTGATTACTGCATAGTCTGACTAAAATGGGCCTGGGGTCTAACTCGGTAGGACCTACGGAGAACCCTTGTGTAAAATCGTGTTGGGTGTGATCATCCCCATTGACTTTCAATTAGCCCTACACGCCACGACTTCCTCCGACATGATTTTCTCTTAGATCAGACACAAAATAGGATTGCATGTGTGCTCTTGCCTCAAATTATCTTAAAATGTACTATTGTGAAACAACGGCAAGAAAAAAATGAATTTTTATCTTAATACTCTGAAAGCTCTACTGCTGCAGTGCATGCTGGGACAGCTGTCAGTTTGGAGAACACAAAGTGATCTAAGTGTTTAAGTAGGATGCCAGTCTAAGCTTGGGCTTAGATTCTGAAGGGCCAGTGTCCAACCACTTTTAGAAATGTCTCTGCTTGAACACACTTTATTCCAGTATGGGTTCATTAGCAGAGCTAAACTGCTTGTTACTATTAGTCATTTGATTTGGGTGTGTAGAGCAAGGGACACATCTAAAACCTTTGTTCTTTAGGGTTTCTTCGTTATTAAAGGGAGATTTCCTCTCAAGTGCTTTGCATGCATGCTTGGTGTGAGGGACTGCTTTAGAGTGAATGATACAATGCAAGCTAATATCATCACCACAAGCACATCAAGGAGGAGCGTTGCCTGGTAGGTCAATGACTTTAAGGAAATCAGCTTGTTTTCCTTCGAAAGAAAATCTTTACTAATCTGACTCTAGATTTTTTGTATTGTTTCTGTAAAGTGCCTTGAGATGAACTGTGCTATGAATACTAGTTGGAGCTAAATATATAGATTGAATTGAACTGAGTTAAAAGTTGCAGGATAACAGCCCTGAAGGATTTGAGTTTGAGAGGCCTGCTCAAGAGGTTCTAGATTTTGAAATTGGATACTTTCATTACAGCTCTTATACTAAAACCTAAAGATGAGATGATGACCTATCTGACAAAAGCAAAAGTGCATTTTAAATAATAAGGAAGCAAACTCCTCCACATGCTAATGTTTTTGCATAATCAAAGTATTTCTCTAGTGCTGTCAAGGCTCTAGTGCTGTGACTGAAAGGCATCAAAAAGAAATGATTTTACCTGCCGTCCCTCTCAGGGTTCTACATGGGTTCTGCTGCACTCAATAAAACTTAAACAAACAATTTGGTAATCGTAACATTTTTATTTTAAATTATACATTAGAGACTTGTGTAAGAACAGGACTTATTGCCATATACACAGCAGAAAACGAAGTTCTACATGTGAATGGAAATGTTGGGGATTCTGTTCTGTGTAGCAGAAAATCGTCTTTGGCATCCGAGGCTCTTGTCACAGCTTACATTAATAGGTATCTGACTGTTTGAGATTTCCTCTTCAACTATTGTCCCACATTCAAATTCCACCTTCATTTGTCTTTTTTCATTTTTTATATGCATGAAAACACTAAATGGGCTGAGTCATAAACCAAAATATCAGAAGGTCTCTGGATGTTTCTTGGACAAAACTTGCAAAAGTCTTAATCAGCTCAATATTAGTGTTTAAGAGATGAACTATAAGAACAAAAACAGGGTATACAGAAGAGCTCAGCATAGCTTCAAAGTTACTCAACTTCTTAGTTTAACCACAGCAATGGCAGTGGACATAGGTCTGTTAACATCACAGTTAGTACCTATTCAGGTCCAATCATACCTACTTATGAGCAGGGATAAAAAAAAATGCCAAAACTTGTACAGTAAATACATGATGGAAATGCTCACAAAGCGGGCAGAGTGGAATAAATCGGACCAAGTGGAGCCAATGAAAGGGGGTTATGGAGACCCTGATACGCAACATAAAAGCTGTATCATCACAGTCCTACTAAAGCCCCCTTTACAATACTCTCTGAAAACCGATCGGTGCCAAGCATGGATCAGTTAACAGTGCAGAGCTCTGTTCCTTACGACCGTTTACACACAACACTAGCATGGTTCCTGGCATCCTAGTGGCTATCTACGGTACTAATGCTCTAGAGGGAAACAAGCAAACCAACATGGCGGTGCCCATAACATTCAGGAAGTCTGCGGAGAGTCAGGCAAATAAGGCAGCCTTTGGTGAATTGCTTTGGCAGAGTCTGCTTTTGGGCAGTGGATACGACAAACGATAGTCTAATCTGGGCTTACAGACGCAGGGAACAAGTACAGACGTTGATGTTCATCACACTGTTAAGCAGCATAATCACTGATGAGGCTGACTGTAAGGAGATGATGCGGTCTGCTCATGCACTCTTTGTTATCTGAGAACTGTGCCAGAACTGAACCCGGTCCGAGCCATACTGATGAACTAGTACCATGCTAGCGTGGATTGGTTGTGTCTGGCACGGTCCGTTTCCGTTCTCCGTACCATTTACACTCAACAGTTATCTTTGTTTGCTTTTGCTTGGACCGATCTCGGCATGGTTTCAGAAGGGTAGTGTAAATGTGGCTTAAGACTAACAAAGCAAGACAACAAAAGGC